AGATTCTGAAGAAAGTGATGTTCACTTCAGATGCCAAGATAGGTAAACAGTATCATCTTTCTTTATTCTCTTTTTCACATTTTAAAAAGAAAAACAGTGTCTAACATAAAGTACTTGCAGCTTTCATGGAAAATGCAGAAGTTAACAGATGGGGAATTCATTTATTACCATTTTCTTACATAATTGTTGACCTTGTACACAACATGTAATACCTATGTGTTTGACTTACACTGTATAACAAGCTTATAAAATTGGAAAATGATTTTTGGAAAAGATGATGATATACAAGTTTTTATTCTGTAAATTGCTCAGAATAATCAGCTAGAAAAGATAACTTAGCTGCCTTTTCTGTTCCTTTGCTTCAGCAGCCTTGTGTCCTTAAGCAACTGGAAAACTTCAGGGTTTATCTTCTCCCCAGACATAAAACCACTCAAGCTACCACAAGTCCCAGGCTATTGAGAGTGGCATCACAAAGTTCTGGTCAGGTGCCCCTGAAAACTACATCCATAGCCCTGAGTCCCAGGAATGAAGAATTCCTCATGTCTGAGCTACCCCAGCACAGACTGTAATAACAGACCCACCTATTGTCCTTTTTTCTCTGGACAAAAGGAAAATCTGAAGTTAACATAAAGTTAGTATACCTCTGGATTTTATGATTTTTGATCTGTCTTCTGGATTATGTTGGTTATCTATTTGCTGCACAGTGGGTGCCACAATTTGAATGGTAATGTTTCTCCTCTGCGAAGAAAAGAAAGGGAGAATCTCAAGAGTGGCTAAACTGAGAAAGGCATGTTTGAGCACACTCCCAGTACTCATCCAATATTTCCCCGTCTTGCTCCTTCCCTAAATTGCTGCTTGCAGGAGATGCTTCTGTCCAGAGACAGAAAGGAAGAAAAAAAAAAAAAAAGACTGTTAAAGACTCAAAGTCACAAAGTCATGCTAAACTTGTGTCTCTAGACCAGTATTCATCACAAACTGTCATGTGCTCTGTAGCACTAATGTGACTAACACATCACATGCTTCATTCCCCACCCTGGCTTTGGGGAGAGAAACCTATGTATGGACATTCTGTATTAATTCTACTTTTTCCTTTAATAATTCATGCATGGGTCAACACATTTTGCTGGAAGGAGCCAGGCCAGAGCCAAGTACTTTGTGCTGGAAGACGTGCTTTTTGGTCAGTTCTTGAGAAAGCTCTGTTGCAAGAATCTCCATCTGGTTAAACTTTGAAAAATTCACCCCCATACCAAGTTTTATAATATAAAAAAAGAAAAAAGAGAGAGAGGAAATTTCTACTCCCACTAGCTTATGTTTTTTCCTTTTTCTCTTTGCTGCAACAGGGCTTCTGGTATAGACTTGTCTGAACTCCTGAGCTATTTGGAAAACATGGGGTTGGAAAAAATAGCCCAAGGAGAAAGACTATCTAAAACTGCTTCTCCTCACCCCTCATCTTCTGCATGTGCCTACCCTCATGGTTCAATGGTCTTGATAAGGAAAATGAAACACCTTAGGTAACGATAAAATGTCCAGTGTAAGACAAGTGTGGAGTATTTACTGACTAGCAGTGCAGCATTACAGCAGAGTCTGCCAAAGAGGGATCAGTGCCTTCCTTACACCCCCAGCATTCATTGTCTCTTAGCCTGGGAACCTGTCTCCGTTCCCAAACAGGGATATTTTTTTTGGCAGCAAGATGGAACAAAAGGCACAAAGAGAACTAAGAAAACCCTTTCAGTGAAGCTGTAGTCTTTTCTTTTTCCTATTCCCCTGAGGACGGGAAACCTTCTTAGGACAGCTCGTAAGATATCCAATCCTGCTACCTGCCTGGAAGGTGCTCAGTGCTCACAGGGACCTACAGGAATTAGGTCTGTGCAGATTCCAGCCCAGATTTCAGCCTTGACAAATTGATCCCCTACCTTTAGCACCAAAAATACCACAGCATTTTGAAAATGAAATCACTGTTATATTTGAGTGGGTGTGTTATTTCGAGACAGCGCTAATGTGATTATAAAATCAGTTGTGTCAGCTTATTGGCTCAGCTACAGACATGGATCTGCTCGAGCGTCTGTTCCTCTACCCAGCTACTCGCCTTAGGGTGCTTTGTCCCCCCTCAGCTCCCCAGAGAAATAGAGAACATTTGGTTCCCACTGCTGCACTGAAGAGAAAGAAACCCCTTCTTCTGGCAGTTGCCCACCTCGTCTCTATGAAACTTGGCATTTCCAGAGCACCTCTTGTGCCAAACGCGAGCACAGCATCCCCCAGCCCGCTAAAGGCTACACCCCATATATGTGTATGTGTGTGTATGTATATATATATATATATATATATATATATGTATGTATATATATGTATATATATACATACATGTGTATATATGCACAGGCTGGGCACGCTTCTTCCAAGTGACAGTAGCCAAGGGAAAAGGTCAAGTGGCAGCAGGGTCCAAACCTCCCAGCTTCACTTTTCAGACTCTTCACTTGAGCTCCCTCTAAATGTTTCCTCTCACCTATTACCGAATCCTGGGAGCAAGTGTTTGTTTTTCCTGCTGCTCCGTGGGTGTCTGACAGACTCGGTGCCTTGTGCTGCCAGGCACGGTTTAATGCTGTCAATGGCAGGTGACTCACTGGTATCAGAAGTGTCAGTCCTGGCAGGTTTGACTCAGTCCTTCAACTTTTGGCAGAAAATTGAAATAAAATAAAGTTTCCATTGTATAAGGCAGCTTTTCAGGCACAGCCATACCAGTGTAGCTTTATATGCTTCATTTGTAGAGCATCTCTAAAGATTCTATAGTCTACATGCTCCACTGGCTTCCTGGTTTTTCACATTTCTATACACTTAATTCTTTTGCCTCTGTGCAACATGAAGAAAGTTGAAGTTTTCATTGCAACCACAGTCTTCCCAAGGCCAGGTAAATGCCATGTTCCCTTTACTGAACAAAGTGACTCTGAAATCCTGCAATTAAAAGCCTAACAAAGAACAGCTTTGCTGCTCATACAGCAAAAATATTTCCATTACTAGTGAAAGGAAAAGGCATTTGAGTAAGATATTACCTACCCATCTTTACCTCAAAGTATGCAATGCCCTCAGGCCAAATTCCAAATTTTCCATATGTAAACTGCATCCAGCTGTGTGTGCTGCCATGAGTATATAAACATGAGGTTTGAATCCCACACGAGCCGTATTTGACCACAGCACTGAATTTACAAGCTACAGAAACTTGACAGGCACTTTATGCAATGGTCAAGATGTTTGTTATGGAGATGAGTATCTCCTGATTTCAGCAGAGTGAGAACATGTAAGTTCACGTCATGATGCTATTTGGCTCAACACTGTCACAACTTCCTCACAAACCCAACCCAATATCAATTAAAACTTGGTCATTTTCAGCCTAAAAACCCAAACAATTAACCAAAACTGTTTAAGTATTAGGTTGGACAATAAATTGGGCGATTAAAGTGGTAGTGGTGGTGAAAACAAGCATTCTCACCCTGTCTTAGCATGTTTAGAAGAGCCTGAGCTCTGCTGTGGATCCTGGGGGCAGAGCCTGTGACTGGACACAGACAATCAAAAGTGAGGTTCTTCTGCTTTGCTGTTCTGAACACTTTGCTCTCTGCAACTGAGAGAACTTGTGCTACTCTTGAAGTTTAAGAGGTTTTGTAATTTTAGTCTCTCTTCATAATCAGAATTATAATTGTTATTTTTAAAAATGGACAAATATTTAAAAAACTGAAACTCATTAGCTGCCTGGATTCATGAATCATTCAGATTATGTTTTAAAGTCTTTTCTGATCTAAATCTGGTGTCCAGCCGAACAAGAGGTTAATGCTCTCTCTTTAAACAGACACAAAGGCTCTTCAGTGCCAAATCTCAGCTTCGGTTTACACCAAATATTCGCCCAGTGGCTGCCTTCCTGCTTTTTCCCAGGGGGTTTCAGTCAGGAACACAGCTTTCTATTTCTGACAACTGGTTGGATATGTGGGATGGAAGCAAAGGAACCGAGTCCTGACATTAAACATGGTGCACACACAGAGATTTGGTGTGGTCAGTGCAGATGCAGAGATAACCGAGCCAGCCTGCACAAATCCCATAGGCTGGGAGAAACCTTTAAGATCAAGTCCAACCACAAACCTGTTCATTGTTTTTAGTTTAAACAAACATTGTAAGAGGTCCTTCAGACAAATTTAAGCACATTAAAACCATTTTCTCCATGCACACATATCAGACTCAAACCCACTCTACCTAAGCCTGTGGTGCCAACAGAAAGATCCACAGGCCTTCCAGGGGCTCTCAGTCAGCTGAGAGACATCTCTGTCTCTCTGAGCTCACTGCTCAAGCTGCCTTACAGTCAGCAGAGAAAACCAGGTACTCCTAGGGCACAATTAATTTTATCTCAACTTCATTGCCTCCCTTCTGACTGCTGTTCCAGACAGGAATTTCAGGTGGGGACACTGAAAGGTACACAAGAGGAAACCCACACCAGTATCCAGAAGGATGCACACAGCCCTTTGCTCCCTGCTTCCAGAACTGTGGGAGGCACCAGCAAGTTAACAGGTACCAAAACAGGGACAAGCAGAAATTCATTGTGCATCCCTTCAGGACACATTCCTGGATATCACTGTGGTGCCTGGGCTGTGCTGATCTCAGACTTGGCCCTTGGTCATGGCAGTCACACCATGGCTGTGCTGAGAGCCCTCCAGAGCCCCAAGCTTGTGCCTCTGCCAGCCTGGGCAGGCAGGGATGATCCCCAGGCGTGTTGCTGAATGCACCTACAATCCCCTCCTCAAAAAACTAATCTGGCAGCAGCAACTCCCAAACCTCAACCTTACTCCAAACTTCAGCACTGGGAAATGGTGAGAAGGGAAACTTCAATGTGATTGTCATGGTAAATGAAGAGAGCAGAAAAAAAGAAAAATCAAGATGTGATTTGGCAGTTTTCCATGCCAGTTTTCCCATTTCCCTCCCTCATGCACTTTCTGCAGGAGCAATCTGTCCTTTCCCTAAACGCTGAGCAATCCCAGCACTAAACTAATCAATATTAATAGCGATGGGTTCGGGAGGGGGGAGGAGGGGAGAGGAGAGGAGAGAAGAGGAGGGATTACCCTGACCTTTTTCAACTCACACTGCCTCAGACAGCCACCAAGCAGCTGAAGAGAGAGCAGCCAGACGGTAATGCCATGTGGTTTTAGTAGCTTTTCATTTTTTAAAACATTTTTTCCTTGTGAATATTTACTCTGTTGTCTCAGTGCAGATAGCAATGAAATGTGATTTTCTGCAGGAAGGAAAAAATTTCATTATATCAGCCATCTCCGGGCCACGCATTGCCTTGATGGGAAACTCCACTGAAATAAGGGAAATAATGCCCAGGCTGGATTTTAACTTGAATTTCTTAATAAAAGGAGGAATTGGATTAGGGAAGTTTTGACAGGTGAAATGCTTGTGTGCTTTGTGGAATTCTCTTTATTATAATAGAGTATAATCAAAGCCATTGAGCTGTGACTGGGATATGGAGCAAGAGCAAACAAAGGGCTGGGGGAACCAGTCCTCTATTGTTATGCTCAAGTGTCCACAGCAGCTCAGAGGATGGATGTACTCAGAACAGGAGGCTCAGAACGAAAGACAAATCCTATTGATTAAAAGAAAATCATATTTGAATCTCTTTGTTCCTGTTGGATTTGGGGTTTATTGTAGATTTTTCCAGTTAGCAGCATTTCTGAAAATACGGGTTTATGTCAGAGGGCACTGTGGATTACTGGCAATTAATCATTGTCTCTTTATTACAGATTATTCTTGTTGCCATGTGTAAAATATGATTTTTAGAAATTATATCTGAGAAATCTAGAGAAAATTATATTTATGTGTTTCCTCTTCTGCTCTGAAAGAGCCAAGCCTCAGGGAAAGGTCCCAGATTGAGTGTTAGGTTTGTGGAGGTTTTTGAATAAACATTTTTATGATATTTTCATATTTTTTCTCTTGAGGGGAAAATGCTTTGCAGATGGCTGGTATCACAGCACTAGCTAATGAAGCCATGGGTGTGTTTTCCCTTTCTTTGTCAGGACCCATCATGTCCGACAAACCAGATTTTGCAGAAATTGAAACATTTGACAAGACCAAGCTGAAGAAGACAGAAACCAGAGAGAAAAATCCACTGCCCACTAAAGAAAGTAAGTGCTTATGAGGCTATTTGAAGTATGAGTAGCAAGGACATAATCCATATTGCAGTTCATATGCAAAATGAATACTAATCACAGGATTACAGGCTCAAACTCATCCCTGACTTTAAGTGGGGATAATACTAAGACTCTATACTGGGCTTCCAAGGATATCAGTAATTATAACCAGCAGTGCATTTTGTCTGAAAAACCCTTTCTGATGGGATTGCTCTTGCTTCTGCTGAAAGCAAGACAGTGTTCCCACTGGGTGCTGGTAACAGGATCAATCTGTTTGTAATGACCTTGTTACCAGCCCCTCTGCAGGCACAGGGGACCCTTTGCCCATCCCTGGCAGGCCAGGCAGCATCCCCAGAGGGTGCTGGGCTCTGGATTTAGTGTTATCAGGCAGATGAGCTGCTGCCTCCCACTGGTACCTGCTGTCAGCCCTGGGCAGGAGAACCTCCAGGCACCTTCTCTGGGAATAAGACTGCAAGCAAAGCCATCATCATCCTCATCTAACAGGCACTCTTCCTCAGAAAAGCACCCCTGAGCTTTTCTCGTGCGGGCTCTTCTCCCTTACACACTGTGCACAGGCAGCCAGATAAAGCTGCGATTGATGTTCAGCTTCAGATATGAAAAGAGCATTTGGAGCAGATTTTGTGAGCAGTTTCCTTCAGAAAAGAATTGCTAATCACCGTGGATGTGTGTGCTGATAGCCATGCACACGCACAGTTTCAACGTTACATACCTGGTTTTCCCTTGGTATACCTGGTATTACCCTTGCCAATGCTAAAGCTGTAAATACAAGAGGGGCTTTGCACACCATGACCCGCTCCCTTCTAGCTATGCAGATGTGGGAATGAGTTGTCATTTTCAGGGTAATCAAAACAACCAATTATGGATTTAATTCTCTGGCTTTGAGTATGACCATAGAAATTGGTATCCTGCAAAACCATTATCATTGAATCAAAGAATGGTTTGGGTCAGAAAGGACTTTAAAGATCATCTTGTTTCAACCCCACACCACGGCCAAGGACACCTGTCACTAGATCAGGTTACTCCAAGACCTCCAAACTGGCCTAGAACATTTTCAGGGATGGGGCAGCCACAGCTTCTCTGGGAAACCTGTGCCAGGGCCTCACCACTCTCAGAGGGAAGGATTTCTTTCTCACATCTAATCTAACCCTGCCTTCTGTCAGTGTGAAAGCCATTCCCTGTTTTTCTGTCACTCCAGGCCCTTGTCCAAAGTTCCCCTCCAGCTCTTTTGTAGCTCCTTTAAGTGCTAGAAGGGATTCTAAAGTTCTCCCCAGACCTTTCTCTTCTTCAGGCTTTACACCCCCAAAACTCCCTCAGTCTGTCTCTATAGGAAGGCAAAGTTCATTGTTCATAAACAGTAAAGTTCATTGATGGTGTTTTTGTTTCCTGTTTTTCTGCCAGCTATCGAACAGGAAAAGCAAAGTGAAAGTACAGCCTGAGCATAAAATTGAAGATGTGACTGCTGCTTCTTCAGTGGGGTTTTGCCTTCTGAGTTGTTTTATTTTGTCCCTCCCACCCCATATTTGTTGCCCATTTATTTTAGGAAGCATTTGTTCATTTAATGTTCACTGAAGAAGTTTGTTTTGTGTTTGTTGAAGAAGATACTATGTATTTGTATTCTTAAAATTATAATTCCAAGTTCTGTATCAACCCCATAAAAAAAAAAAAAACAACAATTTGCATAGAAATTGTTTTCCTAAACCTCACAATAAACAGGTTTCTTCTGACCAACTGTCTTTGAGCCTTGCAGAAATCGAGCTTACACTGCAACTCTTATTAACATCCTTCCCCCTCTGCATTTCCACAACAGCTCAAGAGTTTGGGCAGGGTTACCCCAGGCACTCACAGGCTCCATGGCTGGAACACAGCCCCTCTCCATCACCTGTATCCTGCAGAATCCCAGAGCCCTAGATGGCACCAATCCACAGGAACCCTCCTGACCGCCTTCACAGCAGCCTGGAGACTTCACCCCCATCCCTTGTATCACTCAAGGTATTTCTTGGGAACCCTGAGGGACAAACTGTGTGTGCCAGGAGCTTTGAAACCCCCAGCCTGGCAGCAGGCATGGGTAAGAGGGGAAGCCTGCTTCAGTCTTGTCCAGCAGTAGGTTAGAGTTCCAGAGACAAACACCCACTCACAAATTCCATGCCAAATTGATGGCTGGGCTGAGGACATATTCAAATTAACATTCCAGATAAAGAAAAGGGCTGCAGCACCCTCTCCACAGCTTTTTTTATCTCTCTAACTTTCTAACTTGCAAAGATCCGGTCAACCTTGTGATAACTGCAGCACAAACACAGCCTTTGGCCCATGTCATACCAAGCAATCCAAGAATGGGGGAAGGTGGAAGAAAGAAAGAAAATTAAGTATCGCATTCACTTTTATGGATGAGAGAAAGATCTTTAGCAGCACAGGGGTGTAAGACACAAACCTTCAAATCAAGAAAGGACTCCCTACATCTTCATTACTGGTGGAGCAATAACATCTCCTCACTGGTCTGCAGAGGACTTGGCAAAAATAGACTCTGGTACCAGCTCAGGGGACTCTCAATTACATGGTATCACATTATCTCTGAAATTAATTTGCAATCATATTAGAAAAACAAGTGCTTACTCTGGGCAGATAAACTGCTGTCCATGGAGCTTTAGTTTGATCCTACTTGTGCTGTGAAGTGAGAGTAGCTTCATGTACCTCAGCAGGGTTAGTCTGGGCTTGTACCTGCAGAAAGTGAGGCAGAATGCAAACTACAGGCTTCAGGAAACAGAAAGGAATGGTTGGGGTCGTGTCCAGAAAACTTTTGTTTGCTTAAGGGCTGCTTGACACTTGACATTGAATGTGAATAGTCAGAGCTGCAATTAAAAGTAGCAGTGGATCCACCAGACTGCGACTTTGGTGGCAACAGAAAGCAACCAGAGGTGACCAGGAGACCACAGGAAAACACAGGGAAAGAGGACCAATGATTTCTGTCAGAGCTTTGTCAATGTGGTGGTGTCCAAAGGGATGAGACTGCTGTTTCAATCCACATTCATCAGTTCAACACTGATGATGTTTTCTTTTCATGACCAAGGTTTTTTTTTCACATTCTCATTTGAGGACGCCTTGGCATCTGACTCAAAGGGGTATTTATTTTCAGGTCAGCTGGATTTATTAATACTGATTTTTATATAAAAGATAAGAAATGCTAGAGATTGAGCAACAAAGAAAACAGTGCTCTTTTCTTTGTGACTCATGCCCTCCCCTCACCCCTGCACACTTCAGGGTCAAGGAGCCTCTGATATAATTTAAATATTTGCTTTGATGATGGTTCCTTTATGGAGGAAGCATTTAGAGATAGCACTTAAAGCAACACCACCTATAGACATCCTGCTGTTTAACCTGCTCCTTTCCCCAGGATGGTTTTTAGGCTCTGTATTGCACTCAGAAGTAAGGCCACAGATGAGAATTTCTCCTTGGTTTTGTCCCATGTGATGGTCTCCCTCCACCTCTGCCAGTTCACAGCATCCACCAACTCACTCAGCAAATATACTCCAAATCACCAAAACTTCTTTGGAACCACTGAAACACGGGCTGGTGTCTGTGCTCACAAGTTCTCCAAAAATTCAAAGGCCTGGGCTGTGTCCTCAGCCTGCACTTTTTGGGCAGAAGGGAAGGGAGGTCTGGCCAAAGCAAGAAAACAGCAGACATATTCTCCTCTTGCATTTGCAAGACACAAAGGATTGGCAGCACAGCTCAGGTTTGCCCAAGCACTTGGCTCAGGGCTGCTCCTGGTGCTGCTGCAGGGCTCAGTCTCCCCCCATGAAGCCTGCTCCCAAATTTAGCTGTTTGAATCTAAAGCCTGAAACAGTAAACCAAACATCTCAGTGCTTTTATCCACACATCTCACCCTGCTAAATAGGCTGAGGAGAGCTTTAGTCATGTTCCTGACCCCTGGATCTGGCTACAAAGGCTACAAACACCTGCTCATCTGGAAAAACTCCTCAAGGTTAAAGGCCAGATCTTCCCAGCTTTCCTCCACCTGCCCCAGGTAGAGCATGGCTTTATGGCAGGGCTTGGGGAGTGCTTCTTTCACAATTATCAGTGCAGAGAAGCTCAAAGTTACAAACATGTAGCTGCAGTGCCCTGATTTGAGGGACATCCCTCTCTGTTGCTGGGGGAGACTATTTCAACCCAGGAACGGGGTCAGGAGATTAAAGTTTGTCAAGAGCAGGGACAGGTTTGTATCCCTGTTATCTTAAGAGCATTAAAGCCCTTATCTGTGGGGCAAGCTGGGGACTCCAACCAGGAAACTGCTCATTACTTCAGGCTGAGAGAGAGAATTTTCATCCTTCCAGGCATTACACAAGGAAATATTAGTCGCTACCATTGAGAAGGAGCTATGAGCAGAGCCAAGCTAAGCTAAACCAAAGCAAACACCTTACCCACACCTAGGAAACACCTTCTGGGTGTTAAGCTGACCTTCAGTCCCTGGAAGAGCATCTTCAGCTCCAAGGCTCCCCAGAAGCCACCACCCAGGAGCTGAGACCCTTTCCCAGCCTCCATGGTGATGGGCAGCTGAGATGGAGACAAGCTCATCAATAAACAGAACCAGCTCCAGGTGAGAAACTTAAATATTTCTGCCAATTAGCAGCAGCCCCTTGCTGTTATGTCAAGGTACATAAGCGAGATATTACCTTGCAACTCCTTCAAAGGAAAAACACCTTCCATACTAATGCAGTTACAGCCCAAAAAAAAAAAAAAAAATCATTATATGCAGATAAACACCCACTTTCTTGGCATCACCATGAAGCCAGCTTTGCCCCCTGGATCCAGGGATATGGCCAGCCCTCTCAGGATCTTGGCCAAGTCCACCTGCCCCTGTGAGTCACCTCTAATTGCTGTGCACAGTTGCAGCAAGCCCTGGCTGTGCAGAGGATATCTGCATTCCTGTCGTTGTTACACCAAAGTGAGTTGACTTAATAAATCTCATTAGGCAGGCATTTGATAGCAGTGAAAGCCAGGCAGAACAAGCCCTGACCCTAATTCTCCTAGGCAAAGGGCATTTGTGTGTTCCACCACAGCTGGAGCCTGAAAGTCCTGCCAGCCCCAGCTCAGATACCACGGCCAAGTCTCAAAGCACATGTGGTTTTTTTTTCAAATATATTTGGCTGTTCTCTCTTATTTGGGTCGTTAGACCCATGACTATTGAGACATGCCACAGCTCTGCAGTGATAAAGGCAGTAGGTTTTGGCCACCACAACAAAAGCTGGGATGCCCATGCAAGGCCAAGGCTGGAGAAGTCTTTGGAAAACACCTTTGTGTGTTTGTTCTGCCCTAAGCACTGGTTGGTCCTGATGCAGCAGAGACATCTCCTGCTGAGAGAGGATCAGGGAAGGAAAACAAGGACAGATGTGAGCAAAGATCTGCAAAAGCTCTGCAGGATCAGGGGTCTGAACCACACCACGTGGGAAGGAGGTCAGGGCTGGGAGTGCAGCCAGGGAGGTGCCCACGGCAGCAGAAACTCCAGGCAGAAGAAGCCAGGGTGGTTCTCATGCCTCTGCCTGGCTCGCCCCTTGTTTTTCCAAAAACACAGGGTGAAAACAATAGTCTTTTGAAAAGCACTAACCTTCTGGTGCCAAGCTGGGGGAGCCTCCCACACTGTGCACGAGCAAACAAAGCCTCTGTGTCCTCCTGGAGCCCTGGCACAGGCAGGCAGCCCTGGCCTGGCCACCTGCTCCCACCCGGATCTCTGCTGTCCCAGCCCCATCCCGGGCACCGAGGTGTGTCCCAGCAACACAGCAGAGGCACTGGGGCTGAGCCAGGCTGTGTGGGAGCAGGTGTGGTGGGGGTGTTTCTCCATTTCCAGCCCAACACTGCTCAAACTGACAGCAGGGAAAGCTCTGCTCCCATCTCCCGTGCCGGGAGAGGCGGCTCCGTGTGCTCGCTGCCTTGTCAGGAGAGCTGCCTTGGGAAGGAACAGTTGCTGGAGATGGTTCGTGCACATCTTGTAAGCTGTGCTGACAACAGCTCTTGACAACTACTACCATCAACTGCAAATCTCCCAGTGCTTCGTGTTTGCTTCAAGGCCCGGGTCCAGAATTCATTCAGTCCGTGGGGAATTGGGAAGGAAGGAAGAGGAGGGGGGAGCAGAAGGGGGTTTCTAGCTTCTCTGATCAAAGGGACACGTGAAAATGAAGTGTCTTAAGGCTCCAGCAGTAAGCACTGAACAAAAAGAATGAGAATTTTCAAAATAATAATAAAAAAACATTTCAGGAATTTTAAGCTGGTCTCATGAATTCAGAAGCCAACTCAGTATCAAAATTTTTGATTTGGCGAAGTTGCAACAACAAGGGAGGAAAAAAATTGTGTGTGACTCCAAGTGGGTGTTTTCAAACAGCATCTTGTTTGGGGAAAATAATCCTCCTTGGTCTACTTTGTTTTCTCATGATGCTGGAAATAATTCTTTATCTCAGAAAGAAGAATTGGGATTTTATTTTTCTATCTAATCATGGGAGCTGCCTCAGGTCACACCCAACCACAGCTGGTCCCCCCATCCTTGCTAGTACTGGGAGGAGTCACCACCACAAAGTGTTAAAGAAACACTTGTGCAGGTCCAAAATCACACATTTCATTTAGCAATGAAGAAATCAGGCATGAGGAGCCTTGGCTGAAGGCGTGTGGGGCTAAGTCCAAGGGCAGTAAGGGTGGCAGCAGGGATGCCCTGGGCAGCAGCATCACTCCCTCTGCCAGGA